CTTGCCGCACGCGTGATTCTGGGTTATTGCTGTCGGTGCTTCGGCCCTTCCTCCCAGGTGAGTGCTTCGCCAGCAAATGAGATGTTTAATTGGACATCAAATTGGCACCTTGGCTTCCCGAGTGCCCCGGGCTGCCTGGAAGCGGCCCCGGCATAAGAGCATCCTAGCGCAGGTGCCGGCAGCCTTCCCTCCCCGCGACCGCGATTGCACGCTGTTGCCTTATTTTCGCAGTCAAAATCAGCAGCCACAAACACCTGCGGCCAGGCCCAGGCTCTGCTCGTGCCTCTGGGACGTGGCGGCGTCTCTCCGTGGCTTCCTTTGGGCCAGCCCGGGGAGCGCTCTGCTCCCGTGTGCTCCTTCGTTTCCTTCTGCACACTCCTCTGCAGCTCCGAAGCGTGTTTTTCCATCCTCCAGTACTCCGCAAGCCGCGTTTTTACTGTTCCTGCGGCCGTTTTAAAGGGCAGAGAAGACGTGGATGGGGTTTCGGGTTAGCTTTGGGACCTCCAAAGCCTCCACCCCATCCTACGGGGTGGCTAACTACCCGTTGCCCTGTAAGAGGGCAGGTCGTGCGCGTGGGGATCTCCAACGCCGACTGCTCGGCTTTATTTTGTGCTCCTACTTCCAGCTTTGATAGCTTTTCTCTCGCCGTGCCGACTCGCTGCTTCGGGCTCTCCTGTAGCCCGTGGCTCTTGCAGCTTGGCTGTTGCTTGGCGCTGCAAGATAAGGCTCTTCTCTCCCCTGACCCTTTTTCCTCGAAATAGCGATTGTTGTTGTTCTGTAGCGCAAATCAGCCAAGCAGCACGGGGCTGGTATCTCTGCCGGCAGGAGCAGGCAGGGCTTGTGGTGGGAGACGTTTTTCTGAAGATCATCCAAAACCAGTTCCCTGCGGCTAGAAAGAGGGGCGCTTTTTGCCACGAGTGATCCTGGGACTTCAGGGGAAAACAGCTAACGCTCTCCCGGTTTCCACCCCGCCTCTGCTCTTCCTTGCCTTCACCTGCATCCTCCATCCGTGGAGCCCGTAGCTGCCAAAGCGCAGCCGGAAACGGCAAGCTGGTGGGTGGGAACGTGGCTGGAAGCAGCGGCGCGAAGCCCCTCCGCCTGGTTGCGCGCCCTGGAGACCACGTTTTCAGGCCTCCAGGCTGGGCAGGTTGGGGCAGAGACAGGGCGGTTGGGTTTGGCAGGGTGTTTGTTATCCTTGTTTTATGGAGGAGAAATGAATTGATGAGAAAGACTGATGTTTTCCCAAGGTGAACCCTCTTCAGGGCACTGGCTGTTTCCATCTTTTATCTTTAATGTCAAACATACGCAGTTTTCTTGGCTTCATATCCCCTCTTACTGTTCATGGCACAATTTAATTGTGTTTACTGATGTTTTCTTTTTGAGATCTAGCAATAAGGAAGGTAAGAGTAATAGTCTTTGTCTCCATTTAATGGTTATAGCTTTCCTTTTAAACTAAGCTCATAAAAGGGCATCTGAAACTAATAAACCAGTCTAGCATTGGGTTTCTGGGAGATAAGGATCCTTTCCGCTCTTATTGTGAGGGGTGTTTACCCACAAAGGGTCACTGGGAGGCCGGGTGCTGCGTCACCCGCCGAGGGATCCCCCCAGCCGTGTGCTGCGGGTCTCGATGGCACGAGGAGCACTGGCCAAAGCAACGGTCTGAGGGTACCTGATGGATACATGGGCTGAAAACGTGCCAAGGGCCCTGATCCTGCCCTCTCTGTTATGCTGGCGGCTGGGAATGCCGGCACCGCTTCCCGCTACGTGGATGTGCTCCTGGGGTGCTACCTACTGCAGCAAGTGTGTTGTTGTGCATCTAACTTTGGTCCTGGCTTTCCTTTTACTTGACTGACTTTGCTGCTGAGCCGATGGCTCTGGAGGCCAAAGCCTTGGGGCAGGTGCTATTGAGGCCACTCGTTTGAGGAGGATCTTCAGGCACCCAGCGTTTCGCATTTCAGCCCATTTGAAGCACCAGCAATGGGGCTGCTCTGGGGGGATCTGCCAGCACCGCTCATCCTGGCGGGGAGGGGGAGAGGATGGTGGTGTACAAGAGAGTCAGAGACTCGGCAATCTTGCCACGCCGAGGTCTCGAGCAGCCCCAGGATGGTCACAGCTACCTCTCAGCGCGATCTGGGGAGGACAATCCCGAAGGGCCCAGAAACCCTGTCGCTCCCAGCCGGGGAGGCGATGCCTGGTTTTTGCATTGCGTTTGTGGTCACTGCATCCCCGGGAAGAAGCGTGATTCTGCAGAGAGACGATGGGTGGTGGATGTTTGCCCTGGGCTTTGTTTCTCAGGCATGCTGGCACAAGCTGTGGGGCTGAAATCCGCTTTCGTGATCTGTATTTGGGCCTGTGTTTTCTTTAGTCGTGACCCACCCTGGAGCACAGGATTATGGCGGAAAGAAGCTAATTCAGATAGCTTGTTTTGCAAAGTGCCGTCGGCGCTTTGCCAGGAACGCGGCAAACGCTGCGTCTGACGTTGCTGCTCTTCAACATGTTCCTGTGCCTGAGGCTTGGGCCAAAGTGGCAGCTTTGTCGCTGGGCAGCTGCCACTTAATTCCCAGCCCCGTCGCCTCATTAAGCAAGGAGAGACGACTGCAGCAAGGACATCCGGCCCTTGGGTGGGGTTTGAGCCGCTTGGCTGAGACCAATCTGTTGAGACAGCGAGCTGAGCTTGCACCCTTTGGGCAACGCCTGTCCTTGGGTCACGCTTGCACCTTTTGTCTTGGCTGGGTATTTATTGCCTCTTGACTCTCTCCTGCAGCTGGTCTGGAGTGGGCAACGCATCCTATTTGTTTTAGTGGGGCGGAAAGTAGAGCTACCTTAGGGTGCCAGAGTTTGGACCCCATCTCTGAGGCTAAGCCCTGGGTCAAGGTTGGAATAAGAGGGAGTCTTTCTTAGCATTTTATCGGGGAGCAAAATCTCCTCTGCTTCCCCCACCAGGCAGCTTTTGGAGCCCGGTAAGTTAATTTTCCGTCCTTGGCTGCTCTTCTTGCATCTCCACTCACGGTGCGGCCAGCCACCACGGTGGCTTGCAGAGGTGGGAGCGGTGGCGGAGGAGCAGTTTCTCATGCGGGCTGGGCTGAACTGAAGAAATAACACCCCAGTGGGTTAGGTCGGTCTGCGAGGAGCAAAGCCGTGTCTGCTCTGGCAGAGAGGAGCAGGCGCTGCTGCAAAGTTGTCCTGTCCCAGATACCATGGGCCTAGCAGGGTGGACTTGGCCAGGACAGCGAGAGTGGAGTTTCCCTGCACAGGATACAACCAGCCAGTACCCACCCTGTCCTGTTGTGGTATAAGGGCAGCTTCACCTTTGCTGAAATTGAGCCAAAATTGTTGCAGTTAAGCTGTCAAGTCATAGTGGATGTTTGCACCGTTGCCCGGGCATAGGGCTTTCTGAGGGATGCGTCCGTGGCATCTCACCAGCTCCAACACTTATATTGCAAATTAATAAATTACCAGGAAACGCCCAGTCGCATAGCAAGCCTGTGCCGTCTTCTAACAGCTCAGGATGGATCTTCCTGCAGTTTGGGAGGAGGGGTTATTCTTCTTGAGTGCTTTTAAATTTCCTTCCTTAGAAGATGCCTTTTTATTCTGCAAACGGGCAAACGCTCCAAAGTTTGTCTGGGCAATAGCTACGAAATGGCGAGAGCGACGCTGAGCTCCAGGGTCATTTGGGAAGAATGTCCTGGCCCGCATTGCTGGCCGTCTCCACCGCTCTGGAGGGGTGTCTCTCTCTCCGCAGGCATCTGCGATATACAGATTTCAAGGGAACACGATTTAATTAGGGAGTCATGCTAGAGTCCAAGTAATAAACCAAGTGAGTAAACTGGCGGTCCTGGCTCGGTCAGCTAGGGGACACCTGTTCTGAAGCAGATAAACAGCATATGTGCGACTGGGGAGGACTTCTTGTTAGATTGAGTTAATTATCGGCAGGAGATGGATAGTTGGGTAAGTAGTTGTTTTCAAAGCCTTCAAGCTGAGACCTTCAGCCAAGGTGCAGTCAGCCTGTCCGTGCTATGGGAGCAGCGTTAACTACAGGTATTTGCTAACTTATTCTAGGAGCAAGAGGTTTTGGAGGAAGGAAGTTGTCCTGTTTCCACGGCTGGTGTTTGTGCTAAACCTACAGACCGCCAGGCAGAGGTCTTCTGTGCTTGGATGGTTGAATTAAAGCAGCTGGAGTTTTTGCGAGTACGTGATGTGCATTGCTTTAATGTTAGTCTGCTCGGTCTGTCCTTTCTGCTTGGCTTGTTGGTGACAGGTCGGTGCAGTGGCTGTGCGCTTGGCTTTGTAGCTGCAGGCATCTCTAGCAGCTGGTGCTTCAGTGCTCGCAGCAGAGCTGTGCTTAAAATTCACCCCAAGTTATTGCTAGATGCATCAAGGATTAGAACATTGGGGAGCTTAAGGGGGTTTTGTGACTGAAGCTCTAGACGCAAGCCTCAATGTGTAATGCTACTTTGCCCTTTGCACTGAAGCTCAAACTTGGATTTTTTTTTTTTCTTTTTCATCTCAGACTTTAGTAGTTAAATCTATATTTAGATACACCGGATGTCAGACTTCTTGGGCACTGCAGCACAGCCGTTAGCCTGGGTTTATAAACTCTGGAGGAACTGTATCTGTATAAATATGTCTTGCGAATGTCAGTCAGAGATATGTGAGCGCATCTGAGTGTAAGTAGGAACCTTGCAGACAATTCTCACTGTACACCACAGAGTTTGACCACAGTCGTTTACTTGGAAGCGTGAACGGGCGCGTGGCATAGCTGAGGTCCCGGTGGCTGGCAGCATGCTCTCGCAGAGCACTGGGCTTTCTGCCCTCTTGGAAGACAGGTGTGATTATTGTAGTCTCTGCGGCATGGTCGCTCCCGAAAAACGTGGGTGAAAATGTGTTAGAAGCAGCTTTTGGATCTTCTTGCAGGTTAGGGTCCGGTTGCTTTTGCCCAGCAGAGCTGACTCGTTTCTTCTTTCTCTTCTTGCTCCAGGTGACCAGCAGCAGCCGCGATGAGAGCTCTAGCCCTTGGGTGACACCCTCCTTGGTGATAAAAATGATCAACAAGTCTCGTGAGTCCGTGTTCCCTTTGCGTCCCTTCTCTGAGAGGCTCTTTGGGGTCTCTGTGCTCTGGAAGGGCTCCTGGGGACCTGCCTTGTTTTTTCCTGAGCTGTTTGCATGGGCTGCACAGTCCCTTTTCATGGGAATCCCAAGCAGGGATAGAGGGGAGAAGGGGAGGTCCCTAGAAGTTTGCATTTGAACCTTCTCCAGTGATATTTTCATGGTTGGGGATGCTCAGCTGGGTTACATCAACTGACAGGGCATCGTTAGAGGCTGAAAAGGCTTTGTTTCGCTGTGGGAGGAGTCCCCAGTGCACCGCATGTGCTTTCTTGGCATTTCCACCTCTTTCCCTGCTCATGCGACCTTCTCCCACTTCTGCTATTCCCCAAATAGTTGGTTTTCTTCTTTCTCTCTCCCTTACCTGCCCTGCAGTCAGCTTACCAGAGCCTAGCGTGCTCATGGCTTTGTCTCTCCATGCCTGTGCTCTGACCGAGTAGGCCTTTGCCTTGTCTTCTTGCTGTCTGACCTTGTAGGAGAGGTAGATACCCAACTTAGGGACCTGCCCTGGTGCTGGATGTGCGCAGCTGTATGGCTGCACTCTGAGCGGAGAGCCGGGGGGGGGGGCAGGCTTTTTTTATTTTGTCATTAGTTTGCTTGCTATGCGCTGGTCCCTGCCAGCATCAGTGTTGCTCTTCCAGGCTTACACACAATGACCTGGCTAGCTGTCTTGGCCACCATTAGGCTTAGCTTTAGAAATGAGGGATGAAATTCAAGGGCAGTCATCAGGAAAGTGTGCGCCATGTTTGTGCTACTTTTGAAGCAAGTCACGTCAGCCAGGCACAATAAAATGGCAGAGCAGGAGACTTTGGACCTGGGACAAGAGACCGTGGTTCAGCTTTGAACCTGCAGAGGAGCCGCTCCTCTTGGGGACTATGCCAGCAAAACCACTGCTGCTCCCCAGGAGAAAAATTTTGTACAAGACAGCTCTGTAATCCAGCAGACGAAAGCACAGCGAGAGCTGGCCCTGAAAGCGTCTGGAAATGAGCTTGGGTTAGGGCGAGGTGTTGGCCAAGAACAACTTGCCCAAGGTGGTGGATCTACCAGAGCATCAAGGGCTTTGCAGGTGACACCTCTTCTGTTGAACCCATGTTTTCTCAGTGTGCTTTTCTGCAGGTAGATTAAGGGCTCCTGGCACCCTGCTCCAACCTTTCTGTGGTAAAGCTTGGGGATGGAGTTGACCGTTGGCACTGTCACGTGAAATCTTTTTAGCACAGATGATATAAATCGGCCTGCGCAGCCGTGAGCATGCAGGGCAGAGGGAGAGGAAGGAAAACTCCTGTGCTGAACAGGCAGAGAAGAGGTCTGCCAACGTGAGGAAGGGCAAAGCATGGGTGTGATGGCTCGTAAGGCAAGGTGGTGAGGACAGACAATAGAGCTGGTTTCCTTTAACATCTCCAAAAAGGATTTAAGAAAGGAACCAACAGCTCATAAAACTTTTCTCGAAGCCAGACAGGGAGGTGTGTTGCAGACTTTGGAAAAGTAAATTAAGCAATTCTGCTGCTCCATCCCTTGTAAAACTGTTCAGTGAATACAGTGAAGTTGGTCCTGGATTACATCTCCCAAAGGGCTCAGTCCTGCAAGGTGTGGGGTGAGTCTGGAGCACTTGCTGCCTTCCAGGGTTGAGGCCCTGGAGGAGGAGGAGAATCAGGCTGGTTGGTTGTGAGGCCTGGCTGGAGGGTGAATATTTGGGTGGAGCGGACTGGACTGGAGCATTTGAGGCTAGAAGTACTTCCTGCCCGGAGGGGTTTGGCCAAGGTAGGCATTACAGGCATGAGTAAAGTGGTAGAAATGGAAAGATTTCCTAATGGTGACATCCACTGGCCACGCTGATTTCCTGCAGGGATGCGGGAAAACCCACTTGCTCCACATATCAAAAACTAGGCAGGATGTAGCGGTGGAAAACTGTCGTCAAGGAAGAAAGCCCCATTGGCAGGGAAGTATAGGGGAGCAGGCATCTGAATAAGTGTTTTCCTCCTCCTTCAACTCTTTCCTTGTAGAAAGCAGAGTGTCCTAGAAGTTGCCACATCCCTTCCTTCACATATACCAGCATGTTGCTTCCCTCCCCTCCGGAGGGACTGTCCTCGGCTCTCCCAGGTGCTGCCCGCCCCCAGAAGTCCCACGGTGGGGCAGGGGTTCCCCTTCCTTGCCCGTTTGCTCTGGCTGCCGTACTTTCCCATCCCGCACGGGTTAGCATGCGCCGTGGACTCCTGGCTCCGGGCACCACCCTCACGGCCTTGTTCCGCTCCTCTCTCTCTCTGCACGTAGGTGGGAAGATACTCGGAGTGCTGGCTTTGTTTCTGGTGATGGTGTGGTACTCGATATCCCGGGAAGACAGGTACATACAGCTGTGAGTGTATTTTTTAAAGTTTAAGTGGGGACAGGAGGCTTGGCTTTCTGCCCTTTCCTTTGCTCTCAGGAGGGCGAGCGTCTCTGTCCCAGACACGCAGGGTCTTTGAGCCCAGCCTGTGCGTTGCTGATGTCTCACATGAGGCTCTGTCAAAGCAAGCTCGTCTCAGCGGAGAGACCCAGGAGGGACGAGGTGGCTCGGGTGGAGACACCGGCATCCCGACAAGGGATGTGGCAGCACCCTCAGCTCCTGCCAGAGGGTGGACACGACGCGAGGTCGCACCTCGCCTTGTGCAGCTAGTGATGTTGCAGGTTGAACGCCGTCAGCGTCACCGGACAGCTGATGAGGGAAGTGGGGCATGGTTTCCCCAGCCGTGATATCCTGTAGCCACACTGCTGGGTCTTGGGCAAATTTCAGAGATTCCCCCCGACCTTTGGAGACTACTGGCATAGGGAAAATCCCAGTGTTTTTCCAGTTGTGGTGGTGCTGATGGAGGCATGGAAAGTTTATAGTATGAGACCTATTAATAGCATAAGAGAGACCTTTTTCTGGTGTTAGTTACGCTCAAAAGCCCAGAAAACAAATGACTGTCACCTAGCCGGCAGGTTCTTATCCCAAAGACTGAGCACACGCTACGAGATCCACCCTCTGCAGGGCAAATCAGTGCTATCTTTGCTGGTTCACTCCTCTAGCGTGGCTTGAATTAGGGCATGATGGTACCATCTGCTTAATCAAACTTCACCCTCCCTTTTGTAACCGGCAGTCATGTGCCCTGCTCCGTCCCGAGTCCCCTTCCCAGCAGGGAAGTGGAAGAGCAGTCACTGTTTTTATCGTTTCCCTTGCAGCTTTTATTTCCCCATGCAAGAAAACAAGACAACGTGTCCAGTCGGAGAGGTAGAAAAGAAAGCGGCGCAGCTCATAGTAAAGTGAGTAACGGGAACGAGTCCTTCCTTGGGGCTGGTCTCTTCTCCGAGACGCGGGTGGGTGAGGGAGGATGAGAGCGAAGAGGAGCCAAGGACCTGCCTGCTGCGGCTCCTCGCCCGTGGTCTGTCTCTTGGTCTCACTGGTGCTTTGCCCCTCGCAGTTACACGAGGGATCATCCGCTGTTCTTGCAGCTGAAGGATTATTTCTGGGTGAAGACGCCATCACTCTACGAGCTGCCGTACGGTACTAAAGGAAGCGGTAAGCGAGCGGGCTCCCTCTTCCCCCAGCACGCGGGTGCCTTTCGCCTTGGCACCTCGTGCAGTCGTGGCGGATTTCCATCCGCCCGGGCTCCTCCTGCTCCTGTTCCCTTGGGTTTCAGCCAGGGCAGCTTGTGTTTGGGGTTGCCGTCACACATGGATCTGCTCTTAAAAACAGTTCTACGCTGATCTTTCTGACTATTTTTCTTTTTCTAACAAGCTGTTTGCAAACAACTTCAGTTGGTTTGTGGCCCCTATAAAAGGATGGGGGGGAACAGGAAGGGAAGGTTTTATAGAGCCCAATTAAAGGATTATCCAGTTCTCTGGGAGCTGTAGTGGATTAATGACGAAATGAAGCCTGGCAATTTTAAAGTAAAGGCAAATATTTCTGATCTTGTTTAACCTGCTGGGTGTGTGCTATGATGGGAGGCGAGCAGAGCAGCTGCCGCTCAAGCTGTGTACGGGGAAGACCTGGGTCAGTACCTGCTGCAGTATGAAAAAAATTGGGTAGCCCTGGCCTGAGGTATGGGCCAGATGCTGGCTAGAGCCTGTGAGCCTGCAATGTCAGTAGTAAATAAGCGGTGAGAAGTGACCCTTAGAGATAAGGTAGGAGCCAGGGGCGTTGTGGCTTTCGGCGAGTTGCAAGGGGTTGGCTCGAGAGTGAGTGTCTTCTGCAGGGCAGCCTCACCATCTGCTTCTTGCTGTTCCTCTGCAGAAGATGTCCTCCTGCGCTTGCTGTCAGTCACCAGTTACCCCATGCCTGAGAGCATCCAGAGGTAATGTCAAGGGATGGTTTGGATGTTTCTTTGTTTCTTTCAAAGATTGCTCTCCTAGGAGGCAAATTTGCCCGTGGCTGTTTTGCAAGGGTGAACTGTCTCCACAGGACAAGGCTGGGTCTGGGATTTGGCAAAATGAACCTAATCCCATACTAATAGCCCTTGCTGTTGCTAACAGGCAACACACTCGGGCTCAGCAGAGCATGGGCTGCCTAGAGCCAGCCCGGAGTGGCCAGAGGTTGGTGTTCAAGGTTTTAAGCTCTTGGCTAGGTCCTGCTGGGCTCGTTGGGGAAGAGGACACAAAATGCACCCTCCTGCTTTTTTTCCTCTTCCAAAGATTTGGACAGGCACACACCCTTTGCTCCATGCATGGAAGAAACCCTGCCAAGGGCGTTGAAGACGTTTCCCTGGCCTGGGTGTTGTATTTCTTCATGTGAGTTGTTTAATCGCTCCAGCCTTGGACTTGAGGTTTGGAGGCAGGAGAGGCAGCGCAGAGGGCTGAGGGGAGCTGCTGGGGGCTGCCCTGTCCTCCAAGGTGCTGCCCTGCATCCCTCCTCCCTCACTGTGGTGGGACAGAGCAGCCAGACCCTGTGTTGAGCTCCCAGGGTCTCAGCTGGCTATGCTGCCTGGCCAGCATCTCATCTCCCCGCCATCCGGACGGGGCCAAGTCCCCAGGAGGCTTCCAGTCTCTCATCCAGCCCCGTAGACACTGCCCCAGACCTGATCCAGGACATGAATTCACCGGCCCTGCCAGCAACCTGGGAGTTTGCTGGCATGAAAACACCATGAATCATTCGGGTTCTGCCTCAGCCTGAGAGCGGAGCGAGCTGTTGCTTTTGGACGGAGCGGGGATGGCCGTCACCTGCAGCTCTGGGGACGTGGCTGGGGGGCGTGTGACAGCCGTGCCCTGCTCTCTTGTGTCTCTGCTTGCTGGACCGCTCTGGGCAGCACGGCCGGAGACCTCGAGGCAGCCAGTCCTGCTCCTCAGGATGTCTGGAAGACAGCAAAAAGCTTGGGGAGCCACCAGCCCAGGGACGCAGGAATGGCAGAGAGCATATCAGAAAGCGTTGTAGTCTGGAAAAACGCAGGGTTTAAAAACGCCTTTGGGTAGAAAAAAAAAGGCCCCATTTCAGAGCGTGTTCAGTTCAGGCGGTGCTTTTCTTTTGCAGCCTGAAGTGCCGGCGGTGCGCGGTGGTGGGGAACGGGCACCGGCTCCGGAACAGCTCCATGGGGGAAACCATCAACACGTACGACGTTGTGATCAGGTGCAGCACTGGGCAGCTCCGCTCCCTGAAATAACAGCGGGTGCCCCGCGGGGCCACCGCCGCACCGCTGGGACGCGGGAAGGGGGATTGCTGGGACCGGCACCCGGCAATCAGCGCTAGCTTGGCTGGGGGGTCTGCTTGCTGCTCTGCGTTTATTCCTCCCTGCTCCAGGCTGCAGTTGTGATTGACACCCGTCGTTTATCAGCTGACTCCCCTCCGCAGGTTGAACAACGCCCCCGTCCATGGTTACGAGCAGGACGTGGGCTCCAAGACCACCATGCGCCTCTTCTACCCGGAGTCGGCCCACTTCAACCCCAGGAGGGAGAACAACCCTGACACGCTGCTGGTGCTGGTGCCTTTCAAGCCCATGGACTTCCAGTGGATGGAGGCCATCCTCAACGACAAGAAGAGAGTAAGCGTGACGGGGGGGCTCGGGGCTGGCTCCCCCCCTCCTTGCCTTCCTCAGGGTCCAACCCTGCCCCGATCCTCCCCCAACCCAGAGGGCTTCTGTCTTACGGGGAAGGGAAATCGCTGGATGTCTGTCTGTCTTGGCGCAGGTTCGAAAGGGCTTCTGGAAACAGCCCCCTTTAATCTGGGACGCCAACCCTGAGCAAGTGCGGATCCTCAACCCTTATTATATGGAAGTAACTGCTGCTAAACTACTAAATCTCCCTATGAAGCAACTGCGGAAGGTCAAGCAGGTAAGGGTGAAGGACCCGGCGCCCCCTCCGAGGGGGCGACGCTGGGTCCACCGCCCTCGGTCCCTGCGCCTCGGGCCTGTCGGAGCCCCGGTCAGTCCACCGGTGCCGTTTCAGTTCTGAGCGTTCATTCCGTTTCTTCGCGCTGTGCCGTTGGCGAGACCCG